GTTGTGGACCATTTCACCACGGTTTTGCACCAAAACTGATAACCTTGTTTTTCGATTTGCGACGTCGGAATGTCGTCGATATCTAAACCTGACCATTGTGCGGAAAGTGCTAGCCTAGCACTACTATCTGCTTATCAAGAATATCTGATGACATTTAAATTGATGACGTCACAAGTGGTACAAAGAGCACCACCATTGATTACGCATATATGCGTAGTTGGTATTCAAAGGGTTAATGGACTATTGGAGGCCAAAAAATTCCACAATACAACTCTCTTGGGAAGGAAGTGACCAAACTTGAGTTCATAACGTAAGCGAGAGGAAACGCACACAAGAACAAAAGTGAACTTACATTTAAGCCAACCAGAAAATACGCAAAAACAGGCATATAAGGGCAGGGGGAAATACTCAGTGGCAAACGCACTGGGGAAACGGACCGGGAAAAACATAAATTTGAATTTGCGACCAAACGAGCAAAGAAATCATGCGAGAAGGCAAACGAAGATACAATAATTCATTAGAAAAAAATACGCAATAACAGAAATGCGAAATGCAGAGGCAAATACACAGTTATTTAAGCACACGCAGCAAGGGAGACATGAAAAAAAAAACCACACACACACACACACACACACAACGTAACCTACCCAGATTGGAAAAGCGCGCGAAACGGCAAATGGAGATGCACTGTAACCCACTAGAAAACTCGCTGACAACGGAAGTTTAAAGAGGAGGGGGGACTACTCATGGTCAAGGGACTGGGGAGGTATAAACACGTTTGTGGTAAGGCGCGTGGGAACTGCAAATAAAGATAGTGTATCACCACGAAACGCCCATGCAAGGCACAGTGGAGAGCTCGCGCAGGGAAGGCGTAAAGCGAGCAAGAATGCGAGGAAACGGGCGCAAGAACGGAAATAAAGATAGAGTTCAACCCACGGAGTGCACCCCACATAGAAAGGAATAGGAGTTACAGCATGTATTCACGAAACGAGCGCAGTAATGCGCGCTCGAACGCAAATGAAGATACAATGTAACCCATAATAAAACACGCTAAAACATAAATACAGTTAGTGGGAGGGAACGCACAATGCACATGGCGAACTCAAAGGGTAAAAGACGAGGTGAATAATAACGCCACGATGTAATCCATGAAAGGTTTGAGGTAACGCGCGCGGCAACACTACTGTTTTCCAGTGGGATATAAAACTATATTCTCATTTGCGCCACCGCGTGTGTTTTTTTACGAATTCGATTTGCAAATCTTCTATTTAATCAAGATCGGTTGCACTGTGATTTTATTACACCTTCCCTTATTAGGTTAACTCTTGTGTTTGCCACTGGTCATTCACTCCCTGCGGTCAATGTATTTATGTTTTCTCGCAAGTTTCCTTCGGGGGCTGATCGAGTTGGGCGAGAACTAATCGACTTCTGGTTGAGGACTGATCGACTTGAGGGATAAACGATCGGGTAACCCAGATCAAGAGCTCTCATACCGTCATGTCGCTGATCAGTTGAACAGGAGATTATACAAACATACATGAACTTTATTTCAACTCAAATATACTTGTATATGACATTTTATGTCTCCGAGCGAAAAAAAAAATACAATATAAGTTACTAAAACAACAGTGAATGCTACCTTATTAATAATTCTTTCTCAAACACTTAAAATGTCTACGGATCTTACTCTTTCATTCATGTAATTGGGCATAAGTTCGCAAACTTTCTGAGAGACAATTTCATAGTTTTGCTCTCTTTAAGTATAGTAATTCGTTGCTAGGGAAGAGATAGGATGCGGCTTCCACAAGGTTCATAATCTGCAGAGCAAAGACCAAAGAAATAGTTTATCTAGTTAGGAAAATAATTTTTAAAAAAAGAAAGAGAGAGACTACGATACGAGATTGGGGTGAAACGTGGAAAGCATACGAAGCACATAGCTATAAGCACAAGGTTTTTTAAGTCTTACTTGTCCGATCTGAAGGTCACTATTGTAAGTATTATAAATATCTATAAATAGGAATCAAATTGGTAATATTTGGACATCCTGAATTGCTCCTTGGCATGGTCTGAAATTAATAAATGAATAAAACAACTTAGTTTACTGGGAACAGATTGTTCAGCTGAATTTTGAGCCCTTTCTGTAGTAACAATGCTGCCTTTTCGAATTTCTCCGGCATAGTGTGAATGGGGCCTTAGAATCAAGAGATACAAACCACTTGTGTTGCTTCTGGTGTACTTAAGCAGCCTTTTCTGCTGGGGTGGGGGACACCTATATGAAAAGGCCAGGAAAATTTGCTTGTTGGAAAATTTGAATACCCCTAAAGAAAACTAATCTGCGTGTGGGTCAAGGTTTATTTCACTCCTAAAAGATACCACTTAAACCAGCATCCCCAACCTTTTCACATGGGAGTCCCCCCACAGGGCTTTTCTGGTTAGGTAAAATTCACTTGATGGCCAGATAAGACAGTGAAGAATAGGAAAATGACCTACTGGTACCTGGTCAGCCCAGGACCAAGTTCATTGGCCTTCCTCCCATGACATGGAGGTGGATGTGATACACAGATTGGCATCCATATTGTCCAGTGTTGATGACTACGCGATAACCACTCTGGTCAATACCCTTCTCGGCTGCCACTTTCCTTGCAACTATCATGCAGTGACCAAGGAGCTGCAATGGACACATTGAAAAGAATTGAGTAGAAAAAGATTTATGCCAGCATACAGAGCCTGGAGAAGACTTCCAACTGGGTTGTAAGTGAAAGGAGTCCTTCCTTGTTTGGTAAAAGAGAGGGCGTGAGGTAGACCCCCAGCTTCCATGAGATGGAAGAAGCCTTGCATTTGGTTCTTTCATTTTTGGCATAGATTTGTCAATGCAATAAGTACCTCAAAAAAAGAACAACCGTGAGAAATGTAAACTTAACAAATTTTAAGCTTGTAGTCTAAAGCCTGGTTTTCACTAGCAACGCAAGCAAGCAAGCTTAAGCACATGCAAAAGAAAAAGGAAAAATTTTGATCCTTGTGCCTGTGCTTATGCCTGCATCAAGGCCGTTTTCATGGTGAAATAAGAATTGTTGTGCTTGCACTTGAGCTGGTGTCGCTAGTGAAAACCAGGCTTAAGTCTTTAAATTAAGCTAGCTCAGGACAAGAGTGCAAAATGTCACATAGAACTTGTTGTCATATGTCTAATCAGTGTATTTCCACTGGAGATATGTAATCAGCTCTACTAAGTGAAAGTTTTATCAAAACTATAAACCTTATAAGTGGCAGATCCAGTGGTGCTCAAAAGAGAGGGTGGCAGTCATGTTACACTCCCATAACAAGCCTGTATGACAAATTGAATATGGGATCTTTCTTGCCTTCTAAGAGAGGTGTATATAGGTGAAGGATAGCAAAGTAAAGATGAGTCTTTTCCAGGGGCGTAGCTAGGGGGGTCCTGGGGTCCCTGTGAGCCCCCCTTTTGTAGGCCTTTTTATGCAAACAACCTACAACAGGTGGCGAAAACGACATCACAATCTCGTGAGTACCCTCACTTTGACACAGTCTGANGGGGGGGGTACCTTGACTGCTGTTTATTTGGACTGACGATGCTACTTAACCATCCCCAGGAAAACCAACTAGTCACAGAGTAACTAACTGAAATATTGCCCTTTCCAGCTGGTCACTCATTGCTTGTTTTATCAAAAAAATGTGGCCTTTTTTTCCATTTTATGTAATGTCGCTCAGTTAATGTGACATGAATTCACTTTGCCATGGTCATAAGACACATGACTTACAATGCATCATGCATAAGTCCAGTCTTTGCCATTCAGCACCAACCATTTTCAGCCATCACACCATCTAACGTAGATCACATTTCTAATAAGTTAAAAGAAAAATGCAAATAATCTGATAATCAGGCAGTGTAATGAAAGAACTGAAACTTTACACACTTGTTCATCCTCCTCTGTAGTACTAGACAATGATCGAATTTCCTTTTTTGGAATCACCAAGAAGTGGACGGGTGCTTGTGGGTTAATGTCTTCAATGGCAATGCACTGTTATAATAAAAACAACTGAACCAAAATCACAACCAATACATTGACAACTTGATCAGGGTTCCTTCTTTAAAGGACAAGGTCACTCCAAAAAAAGTATAGTTTTTGTCAATGCTAATAAAATCATTGCACTAAGTTTATCTACTCACCGAAGTTCCAGCCTCTTAAGTGCAGGTTTTCCATATGAAATTCGTCTCCAAAGAAGCCCAAAATTTGAACTTGGTTGCTGCCATTTTGAACAGTACTCAGCAGCCAGGCCACATTTTCGTGACGTCATTCCATCTGAGAGATTTTGTCCAAATGGCTTCTGAAGAGCCTTTTAACTATCACTCTGGGTTATGGCTGTTCTTGGGGCATATTGCTTTGAGCCAAACATGCTCCAGACTCCAAAATGATAGCATTAAAGATAGTTAAGTGGATAATCGCTTGGAAAAAAAAGTAGATTTTGCTGACCCTGTGAAAGATGTCAAATCAGTTGCAGGTTTTTCTCCTTCCCACCTATTCTGAGTCAGATGGAGTGGCGTCACATAAACACATCCTCGCTACCAAGACAGTTTCAAAATGGCAGCCTCTGAAGTCGCTTCTCTCTAGGGGAATTCCCTCAGGATAGCATGCACTTCAGAGGCTGAAACATTGGAGAGTGGCAAATCTGAATGTTTACTTGCTATAGGTGAAGGGAAAATAGTACACTTTTTGGAGTGACCTTCTCCTTTAAGTACCAATCACAGTCGGCATAATACAAAAGAAATAATAGAATACAAAGAGTAAGATTGAAAGGTAAAACAATGCAATTCATTTGCATCCAGTACTCACAGAAAGACCCATGATCAATCAGAGTTGCCATTAATGCACAGGGTGTGTCTTATATGCACAAAATATTACAAGGGTGCACAGCTTTTTAGCAAAGTGTGTCCCTAGGGACCCTTGGGACTCAGGAAAAATGTTCCAAAAATTGTAGTAATTAGGCAAAGGACCCCTGAAAAGCAAAAAAGAACTCACAACTCTTTGGAACTGGGGGTTCCAAGCAAGCTTAACTATTAAAACTAGTGGGAACTCTGTCCATGTGACCAAGCTACACCACAGGCATCCCAAACTCATGATTCGAGGAATCAATCAAATATTAATGATTTATGTACGCGTATTGAGTGAGATGTGACTGCCTTAGGTGTGCGGTGTTGTGTTACACATTGGGCCGTTGAGAATTTGAGCGCTCTAAAAGGCATTGTATGGAATTTAAAATAACAAAGGATAAAATTGCACAATGAAATAAACTGTTATTTTTTTTTGAATAAAATTAAGAAAATATACTCACCTTGCCTGGTTTCTGTTGTCCATTTGGTCTATTTAGTCATTTTTGGGGGGTTTCAGGTGTTTGTCACAGGTTTCTATAAACAAAGTCACGGCTGGACACTACTGTTTCAAAAGACCTAGACCGTGACGTGGTTTTCTCACCGAAATTTGAATCCGCTGCTCGATTTTTCCCTCCAACGCAAAGAAGGATAGTCCACTGGTCCCCTTTTCTGGTCGGCTTGGAAAAATCTTCAAACTTTCCGCTCCAATTCAAACAATTTTTGCTTCACTACTGGAGCTTTCATCTTTCTGCTGATCCTTGTGACCGCCCTCCAGACTACGGCACAGCTTGAATTACGATGAGGCATCAACATGCTCCCATGGGGTCGTGGGGAGAGGGTTATATTTTTTAATGGAAATTTTTGACTGTGCACCTGTCTGGTAAGTTGCATTTGTCATGTGGGATTGGTTGCTAATGTTGATTTCAAGCTGTGCCGTAGTCTGGAAGACGGTCACAAGGATCAGCGGAAAGTTCTTCTTCTTCTTCCTGGGCGACTCACCTCCTTCAATTCTGAAGATTCTAGTGAGCGTATAAATAAAAAACTAATTCCATACAATGCCTTGTAGAGCGCTCAAATTCTCAAAAGCCCAATGTGTAACACAACACCGCGCACTTAAGGTCATTCCCCAGTATTGCATTGCGCATCCTTACTGTGCATAATTTATGGCGTCATTAGCACGCATTTGTGCATGCGCACATTGAAAACATGGCGGATTTGCCTTGATATTGAGTTCTGTCAGTTGGAAAATGGCTATAGCTCACTAACGAGCTCGGCCACCCCAAATTTTCTTCCAGTCATTTGAATTAACCAATCATTAGCTTTGTGTGAGAAAAGACTGATCTGATTTCTATTGTTGAAAATTGAATAAATAAGGAAAATAGCAGCTGCACTGTAGTCTTTTCTATTTTACAGTTTGATAGCCAATGCAAGCAATTTGTTTCCAATATTTTAACAAGGATTCAGCTGCCTGTCAAAATCAAACTTAAAAAGTTTATTTGTGTCCGACACAAGTATTGACTGTAGTTTGAGGCGTGTTTTCATGAATCTGGGCTCACAAAGAATTCACAATAACTCGGAATGTGTTCTTGTAGTAAGCATTAAATAACGCTAAAATGGGACATTTTCAATGCCTCACTGCTCCTTAATTAAAGTTCTCATACGATAAATATTCATTAGACAAAGTTTGAACAAAAATCTATGTGCAGTTTTATTTCAGGGGAATTACCTTAAGGCAGTCGTCTCACTTGATACGCGTACATAAATCATTAACATTTGATCGATTCCTCGAATGGTGAGTTTGGGACGCCTGTGGCTACACTGGGGGGATTTCAAAATTAATGCTTGTAAACACCCGAGTGAATGATGGTGCCTCAAAACAGAAATTGGCAGACCTCTGCAGACATTTGGCTATATCTGCAGTGCTTGAAATTAAAATGAATCCTGCTTGTCTGTATTTCAAATGCCGGGGAACCAGGCTGGTAAATTTGATTAAAATGAAGAATGCTCGGTTGCCCCCATCGAGTCTTCAGGTGCAGATGTGGGATCGTGAGATCACAATGTGAGACCGTGAGACAGTTCCTCGTATGCAAACCCTACGGACTGCAAACCGACCAATCTCTGAATTTTGCCCTTAATTCAGAGCCCTTATTGCATAACCAGTAAAAAAAAAATTAAGGAGAATGATCGAAGCTTCTCAAAGATAGTCGAGTTAAAGACAAGTACAAAATTGCAAAGCCACATTTCTCCAATTTAGAGAACGAAATATAATTTGATTTGTAGTCTAGCAAACCAGAATCAAGGGCAACGCTTTACACTACCTGATCATCTTCATGCAGAAACGTTGCAGGCAGCTCTCGACGAATTATCCTTGCAAACACCGAGTATGCATAAGAGGATCCTACCGCCGCCATGTTGAAAAGAAGGAAGTAGATTCCAGGTTCACTCCTTCCCAAAATTGCACAGGATCAACACATGATAGACGGATGGACACAGGAACGCCAAAACACTGAATAGGAAGGTTTACCTACGGTTCCTCGTCAGTTTTCTTTTACTGAGGGGGTTGAAGGCTTGATAAATACGACTGGACTCGGAAAAATTAACCATGAGATTAAATTGTTTAACTTCGTTTTAATATGGCTTAGAGACGATTGAACCAGTTCAAAACAAAGTCAAAGGGTCATGGGTGTTCTCGATACCCACGTGATAACTTCTTCTGGCAAAATCCCAAATGAGAATATTGATCCTAGACACCGTCTACAGTATTGCGTTTTCAGTCAGTACACTGGCGACCACTTTTACGTATGTACGACAGGCGCCCGTTTTAAAATGTCTCCACAGCGTTTTTAACCGCACTCCTGACCAAACCGTTGAGGGGTTTCGTTGGTATCAGTAGGGAAACTGAGCGAAAACGTACCAACGAAAGCGACTCAACAAAAACACTCTGTACTGTTGGCGGGTCCAAGAGCAAGTTGAAATCAGGTCAATGTTAACTTCCTCTGTGACCTAAAATGCTAAAACCTCAGGATTACAAGTCTTTTTATATCGAACTGGAGGAATTAAGTCTATTATTCCATGTCCACGCATCGATTCCACCAGGTCAAACATGACAAACATTGGTTATGAGTACGACACACATCACTATTTAATCAAAATCTAATAAATAGTTGTGATGGATTTTCAATGATAACTAGATAACGTTCATTTGAAACTTTTAAGTTTACGATTCACTGACGATTGAGCTGAGTTGTCTGTACACTATGTATTCAAGTCCACAATCAGTGCAGTTTCAAATCCGTCAATTCTCGCCGACTGCCGGGGTAGTCTCGGTAGCTGCACGTGAGGCGCGCTATACACGTAACGGCAAACTCTAAGTTCCCGTATCATCAGTACATCGTGCTCTATTTTAGCTCTCCTTAGCAGAAGGATGGTTCATAATCTGGTTCGATAAATCAACCGTTATCAATGGTGGTTCGATTGGCAATCCATTAAACGTTACAAATTTTCTCTTCATAATGCCAGTCCCACCATTTTTTCGCTTTTTCTGGGTCCTTGCAACTCGCTCTTTTCCAGGAACCTGGAGAGTTGGAGTACTTTGGTTCAACATCTGAAGTTTCCTGTCGACCGAAGAACCTGTTTCACATGAAATTTCCTGAGCAGAAGCTAAATCAGTTCCAATGCCGTCGGTTGGATTAATGTAGTATTCGGATTTGGAGGTCAAATTGTGTAAACGCGTAAATAACCGTCTGCCGCTTGGAAACGCCAAAGTAGGGCTTTTTCTTATTTGAAAAAAGGTATCTCCGAATGAAGATTTGCATCCGTTTTCTGAAATTCCTAGTGCACTGGTAACTTCGTCGTCAATCTCTTTCTGTCTGCTCGTTTTAATACAATGTTTACAATATCTGGAGCCCATAATCTCGCAGAATTCTCGACCGTTAGCCTCGTCAAAAAGACAGCTATAGCAGGTTGCTGTACCGGTAAAGTCGTAAGTAGACGATGGCGATCCGTTATATGTTGCTGCCCTAGAGCGAAAGAAAATACCTTCGTCTGCTTGCCAAACTTTTTGTCCCATCATGACATCAGTGCTTACAGGCCTGTCGTGTCGGACGCTTTCTCCGAGCAGATTACAACTCAAAAGAACTTTTCCTTTCTTCGCTTTCCAGTTCGATGGCTTTTCCGCGCAGATGTGCAACTTGTGTTGTGACATTCCGAAGTTCGCTTATAAGTTGAACCAAACTGCAGTCTTATTATTGTTGTGATCAGTTTGGTCTTGGTTACCGCGCCATACGTTACACAGTGCGACCAAGAAATTAAAATTTTGTCATAGCAAGTTAAAGTAATAATTCAGGTCCCTCAGTGATGCTTCTTCACAATTAATCCTGCGAAAATTAAATTGTTTTCTCCCAAAACTTATCACTGCACCGACCGTCCATCATAAACTTGGAAACTTTTTTGTTTGCTTATGCCACGTTTTTTATTTATCAAAGTCTTTGAAAAACGCTTTCAAATCAATTAGGAGCCAAACGTCAATAATAATCTTTCACACTAGGACCCTTTTTGGCAAACAAAAACAAAAGGTACTTAGCATAATACAAAAGATTTTAATCCACACTTCACTTAACGAACCGCACGATAATTTTCCCTTGTGTAATGGAGTAAAGACGTCATTCGTGTCTTAAAAAGTACATTTAGAAATGAATTCTAAATTTTGTCTCAAGTTAATTCATACTGTACGTTCCTTTGGAACAGAATTGCCTATTTGTTCCTAACATATTCAACCAGACATCTTTTTTTTTTGTTTTGATTGTTTTTTGGAGGGTGGGGGGAGGGAGTGAGTGAGAAGATATTAGGCTACGAACCAAGCGCTTTCGTTTATACTTTGTGTCTGTAAAACCCGTCACATTCCCGATTATGTCAATTAAGTGCAAAAATGTGCAAAACTCGTGGATCCATAAATTAGTGCAAATAGATCTCATTGACTGACTGACTGACTGACTGACTGACTGACTGACTGACTAACAGACAGACCGATTGACTGACGGGCTGAACATCGCACTTATTGATCTGCCATTTATCAGTTTAAAGTTGATTAAGGTAAATTAGCGAGTTGGTCTTTGTTATGAAGAAGGGATGACTGACTGATTGACTGACTGACTGACTCACTGACTGGCTCACTGACTGACTGACAAACAGACCGATTGATAGACTGACAAGTTGACCATCGCACTTATTGATCTGCTATTTGTCAATTTAAAGTTGATTAAGGTAAAGTAACCGCCGTAACGAGTTAGTGAGCGTTAGCCTTCTCTAGATTATGAAGAAGCGATGACTAGCCGAGGGACTGACTCACTCACTGATTCTCTGACTCACTGACTCACTGACTCACTGGTCACAACTTATTGGTCACAAACTGAAACAAGAAATTGTAGGATGTAACTTTAGAAGAAAAGACATGTTTTCTGTATTGTAAGGATGTAAATCACCAATGACTGTATAAAAAAGGCTGGACGAGAGCGATTAAACACGACGAAAACTATACATCCTTTGTTGTCCAATTACTCGTCCACAAAGTGGGGGGAGGCGAGGAAGGCGCTTATTCGAGGAAGGGAGGGGCGCTAATTCGAGGATTTACGGTAACCTATTAGACTGTAGTACGTTAAGCTAGAGGTAGATCTGATGTAAATTTTTCACGATTGTGCTGAATTATGATGAACCAAAATACAAGCAGCAAGTAAATATATACGGTGATACAACAAACCCTGGGTGCCATGTCATTAGCTTGCGTGACGGGCGTTCACTACCCCATCCCCGTTTACTCCCTCCTTAACACAGGCTAGGGAGGGAATTGGGTGCGTAGCCCCTTCCCCATCTCCACCCCCCTCCCCGCCCCCCTCAAAAAAAAAAATAAAAACTGCCCGTGAACTCCAAAAATAAAATGCCACTTAAGTTGGCACACCAGCCTAAGCCTAAATTGATACAAAAATACGATCGAAATTCTATTTCTCCAAAAAAGCAAGAAATTAAGACGCCATACATTTGGAACCACTTCAAAAAAAGTTGGCAAACCTGAGAGAATCAAGCGAAAGCAGAAGGTGCATTTCCGTTAATAAACTACTTATTTTGAATGCTGTTCTTCTAGATCAACCTTCTTTTTTTGTCTTGTTTCAACTGACCAACGGCACTTTCCACGGCAAGTCTTACAAAACCATCAAACAAGCGTTAGTTTCATTGAAGTATTTTAATGACCATTAGCCATGAAAATCATTCCATTTTATATGTATCTCATGGTATATGATACCAAGTGTGGTATTGCAGAAAATTCTTATTAATAGAATTTATACCCATTTAGATCCTTCCTCAGGAGGTATCTCAGAAGTTCCCAGTGTTTCGCCACTTTTGCCTTTGGTCTCGTATCTTCCTGTCTTGAGAGTGTACTTGGTACCATCAGAATTCTCACACTCGCCAACAACCTGGTACACAAGTACTTCGTCGCCGGGATTCACCTCCACGCTGACTTCATGCTTCACTTCCTCAACACTGGTGGAGCTGGAGCTGCTGCTCCAGTCGAATCCCGTGGTCGCTGAGAGGCCAAGTTTCGCTGAAAATATTTTAAGTATGGAGGCGCCCAGTTCAGCGGACACAGTAAAGCTGGTACTTCCTCCAGATGATGTAGTCCTGGACGATGACGTTCCCTTGGTGATTGTTACTTTTAGACTAGCTTTATTTGGCTTGTTGTGTTTAAGTCTCGCCAAGAATTTATACTGTGGGATAGCAATGTAACAAAAACAAAGACAAGTGTAAGTGATC